GTGTGCGTGCGTGTGTGTGCGTGCGTGTGTGTGTGTGTGTGTGTGTGTGTGTGTGTGTGTGTGTGTGTGTGTGTGTGTGTGTGTCAGATATCAGACAGCACGTTAAGCTGCGGGGACTCCCACAGCAGTGCAACTGTAGATGGCTAATTGACAGGCTGCTGGAGATGAAGCCAGTCAAGATATCCAGTCACTTTCAAGCTCACACACTCCGTGCTCTTCACCAGGGGGTAAGGCTGGTCGCTGGTGGAAACGCCTTTGTGTGTGCGTGTGTGTGTGTGTGTGTGTGTGTGTGTGTGTGTGTGTGTGTGTGTGTGTGTGTGTGTGTGTGTGTGTGTGTGTGTGTGTGTGTGTGTGTGTGTGTGTCTGCTGCTAAGTGGTGAGCAGACTTTTGACCCGCTGGGAAAGAGGATGCCAATCTCAGTCATCTGCACATGCACACATTAGATTATCACACACTCACTCACACACACGCGGGTGCGTGCGTGCGGTGTACAACTCAGAATGAAAGCCCGTGCTGGAGTTTCTGTAGGACTCCCACTCAGCCAAAGGTCAAGGATGTATTTCTTGTCCTGACATGGATGGCCTCGTTTCCATCTCACACACCTTTGGTTGGATTCGACAAACAACATCCAGCGCTCGGGAAGACCTCTGGTCCCTGCTTTTGTGCTTAAAAACACAAAACAAAGTTTTTTGTGTGATTACACCAACAAATCTCCCGCCATATTGCTCTGTTACAAACTCTGCCTCTAACATCCAGACTTTATTGCATCTCTTCTCTTCACACTAAGCACCGTTTTCCTTTGCTGTGCTTTGCTCGGCCGGCTAGGGGGTGCTGCCGATATCTCCCGGGACTCTGCCGGCTCCTGGTTGTGGCCCCCAGGGGCGATCCTCTGCACCTATCGAGGGGGGCGGGCGCTTTTCTGGTCGCGGTCTCCCTGGGGTTCCTGTGTTCTGGGGCAGCTCCTGGATCTCTGGGACTTGGAGCTCCCCCCGTCTCCTACACATCTTTGGGGGGCGGATCTGTGACCCCTCACACTCTCTGTTGGACGCTCCTATAGAGAAACCTTACATAAACAAGCGCGTGTACACACACAGGTGCTCACATGCTGCTCTCATAAGTATGGGCTTGGGCACGTTAAACACATGTCGGCTGTGGTTGGCACTAAATGCACTGTGATTTATAATCGTGTGATTGTTCAGTTAAACATGTTGATTATATATTTTTTCATCAAGTTGATGCAGTGATAGATGGATCTTGTTGTATTGTTGTTGTGTCCCATTTTTTTGTATTTTTTTCTCTTTCTGCATGTCTAGAAGCAGACTCTTGTTCATTATTGTTTATTTTTGTAGCCCACCCCCACCCCCCCCCCCCCCCCCCCACCCCCACCCCCCACCCCACCACCAACACCACCACCTTTTGTCTCTTCCTTTCTCTTTCGCCTCTGACTCCGTGTCTGGTCAGAATTACAAAGCATTCAAAAACAATAACAATGAAGTTTTAAGTATCAGGCGTGACATTAAAAGCAGACGCTTTGATGCTCCACCTGAGAGTAAATCTGTAAGGCTTGTCACCAGCATTGAGACATCAGTTCTGTTTGCTTCACAGCCAGACAGGACACGGGGAAAAAAACACAAACCAAAGTTTTTTGTGCGATTACACCAACAAATCTCCCGCCATATTGCTCTGTAACAACCTCTGCCTCTAACATCCAGACTTTATTGTGTCTCTTCTCTTCACACTAAGCACCGTTTTCCTTTGCTGACGATTTTTCTCCCCTGATGACCCACAGGGGCCGTGCACTTGTTCAGATTGCTTTTTTATGCCACTTCCCTCGACTGAAAATTTACATTTCTGTGATTTAAGGCCTCTGTCTTCGCTCTGTGAAGGATAAAATGGAGTAGAAGGGGGGTAAACATCATCTGTGGCTTACACCGTTAAACATTCAATTATCTATAAAATACCCAACAGAGGCTTCAGTCAGTTAAATGACAAACTGAAGGCGAAGAGCTCTTCAGAGCTGCCCTTGTTAACACAGGTTTTTATAGATCTCTTCACATGCCACCCTATAGGTGCTTCGCTGTCTGCATGAATATATGCAGAGAGTATCTGTCCTTGCTGAGAGCAAAATCTGATAATGCAGCAGCAAACCCAGCTGAGAGTCAGAGCAAACTACTACATAGCTTTGCTTAGAAGAAAGAAGCCAAAGGGCTGGCTGCTCATCTCAGCGACAGCACCTCGCACTTGATGAACAATTATTCAGAGTTCGACTGGAAGAAAAATATTAATCTATTTATTCATGGCTTGTTGAATCAGCTTTATCTTCTGTGATTAATCCAAGTCAATAATGTAATCTTTAATTATAAAGAATGGCCTTATTACCTACGTCAAATAATCACGCCGGCCTGCGCGGCTGAAAGGAGGAGAATGAATTTCTCAGATACGTGACTTTGTATTTTCCTGCCATAAATTAGAGCTCCGCTTCGGCCCTGAGATCCGGCTTTATTATAAAGGCTAAATTCACACATCTCAACTCTTTGGGGAATAAAAAAGCAGCACAGAAAATCCATCTTCTGATTTTTAATCCACACATTCAAAACCAAAGATTATATGTGACGTGAAAAACAAATCCAGGCCAGAAGTCGACGCCACAGGTCACGGCCCGTTTGTGAGAAAGCCTAAATGTCAGAAAATACTGAGACTTTAGTCCGTCATACCTTTTTGCTCCAACAGTCTGAAATCCATGTAGCTATTACCAAAATAAAACATCTGCTGCTTCCAGTATGATCAATCGAAAGAAAAGGCATTACAAAGAGCCGATCCTGGAGGAGGGCCCCGTGAGAGCAGGAATAATGACTCACTCGTGCAGGGCTTCTTTCTGTGTTTGTACATGTGCACGTGTGATTAATAGCACATCAGCAGTAATAATGGCTCTTTCCTGTAACAGACGTGATTTGCTGTTACAAACACACACACACACCTGTGTAACTGTGTGTGTAGAAGTTTCGTGTGCGGTTTTCTTACTTTTTACACGTTGCTCTCAGGGCCCACAACTCCCAATCCCTTCTTCCCAGTTTTTTGCTCAGAGTGAGTGATTTGTCATGCACGGAGGCAGCCTGTAACAGATCCAACGGACAGCCCCAGAAAACGTGGATCACATAGCTGACAGAGACAAAACAGCAGCTTGGGGAACTTTCCTCTGGATCTGAAGTCACGGAGGCTCGGGAGAGAGCAACCGGACTACGAACGTGTGAAGCGTCTGCTAATTGGAAGAGTGAGTGTGTGTGTGCGTGTGTGTGTGTGTGTGTGGGGGGGGGGACGTTATCATTAAAGCTGAACTTTCACGTTCCTGTTATGTTTTGTTTGGATGTTCCCTGAGAAACTTGATTTGTGTTTTATTCACTGGCTTAAATCATTTTTTCATAGTTTTCAGATGTGGGATCCATTTTAACGCCACCGGTAAGTTTACAGGAACCTGCTTTGAAAACATAAAACAAAAAGAACATTTTTTGGTAACACTTTACAATAACAGTCCCTTTATTATGTTGCTAAGTGTATTATTAAGCATTAACAAACAATCCTTTTATCCTTTTATGAACGTTCACCATATTGTTTTTATATGTCCTTAAGGTTAAGACAAAGGGCCGGGGGGGGGGGGGGGGGGTATCTATTGCTATTAAGCAGTTGTTAATACTTTATTTAATAGCTTATTAATGTTTAATAAAGTGCTAAGTCATGTTAATAAAGGGACCCTTATTGTAGTGTGTAACCTGGTTTTTTTTTAGAAAACTAAACTGGCTTATTTTGGTACACATCTTCTAGTGCCATCTTTGCGATAAGTCGGTGACCATGTCAATGTTCAACACACCCTATTACCACTTGACACCCACAGTTTATCATCACTAAAGCAATCGCATATCCCTTTTCCTGCAGGAGCGATGGGGAAATCCATCTCCTGGACGGACAATGCCTTAAATAAATAGTGCACAGAAAAATAAGCACAAACTATCCTCCTTTCACCTGATTCCTCCAAGCTTTTCCAATGCTTCTCTCCCACACACACACACACACACACACACACACACACACACACACACACACACACACACACACACACACACACACACACACACACACACACACACACACACACACACGCGCGCACACACACACACACACACACACACACACACACACACACACACACACACACACACACACACACACACACACACACACACACACACACACACTCATGAAAATTGTTTCTTTCTTTTAGTCAATCTAGCTAATGCAAAAATCATGTATGTCGGTGTTTAAATATTTAATCCTAACAGCAGCGAGATTGAAATACAACACTGAAGAAGCATTACTCCCTCCCTCCTGAAAGGTACAAGCGCCCAGAGCTCGAGCCAGCCGCTCTGCAATGTCAGACAGCGAGAGTGGGAGCGACAGGGAGCGATGGAACGAGGAAGAATAGACTCGGCTATTTTTGATGACTATTTTGTTGCCATGCGCTCTCAGCAGCGAGGCGGCATTAAAGCACAGTTTGCCTTAGAAAAAATAAAGTACACAACCACATATGACAGCTCTGTGTTTTCCCTCTTCGGGAGCAGACTTTGTTTTTTGACGTTCCAGATTGCACAGCTGAGGAGAAACACTGTTGCTGCTCTGAACTTGGAGAGACGAGATGCAGCTCAACGACTGAGGCAAAGCCATGAATTTTGCATGCAGAACTGCATCGTGGGAACCGAACGCCCCATGGAGATGGGTTTAAAGACAAAGAGAGTTGCTCTCCTCTAAAAGTGTTCAGTTTGATCTCACTTTTATCAGTGGTTTCAGATGAAACATGAAGAATGTCGGGAAGAAAGGCACTCAGGAATCCTTGTGGTTTTATAAGGCAAAGACTCAAAAGTAAAAGACTTCATTTAGTCTAAACGGCACAGCTGTGAGGAGAGCGAGTCGGGCAAAAAGTGCAACTTTAAGAAACTTTTGCACTCACCACAGAGAAGTCCTCGCTGGAGCAGTTCTGTCCACTGAAATTGCAGCTCATCAGCATCTCATCTAGCTGATGTCCCGTCCTGTTGAAGATGTCCTGCATGTCAGGAGCGGGATACATCAAATCAGTGGGTTTGTGTCCATCCCTGTTTTTGGGGGGCAGACCTGTCAGGTTTGCCAGGTGGTAGATGTCGGCGTCAGTCAGAGCGGAGAAGCGGAAGCGGTTGATGTTGCAGATGGTCACAGCAGGGAAAACCATCTCAGGGCTCGCCTCTTCATTCAAAGCCGTGACATGAGGATGCTCCAGGTAGGAGATGGCACACTTAGCGGCTTGGTACAGAAAGAGTGCTAGAGAAGTCAAGAAGGCAAGAGCCCACAGAGTCTGCCGGATGCCCAGACGACCAGAGACAAAGATGTGGTTAATCCCATGGAGGGAGCAGGAGTTGGCAAACCCGGCCAAGTCTTTGGCCGGTGGTGTGCAGCTCTCCTCGATCAGGCTCTCCTTATCCCCATCCTGCTGGCTTTTCTGCTTCTCATCCTCCTCTGCAAATTTGATTTTGCAAACAAATTCGATAGGCATGTGGGCAGCCAGGTCTGCGTTTTGGTTTTGTTTTAGGTGGCAGCTATCAGCCCTGGATCACTTCCCTCCTACTTCCTTGGCTTTTGTCCACTGAGCAGGAAACAACTCCAGAAAGAAGAGGGAAAAAGGCAGGAGAGTTTGTTGCTGCTGCTGCTGTCGCTGCTGCCTGCGCTGTGACTGATAGTGCTGCTGCTTCTGCTGCCACGGCTCTCTGCGACTACAGCGCTGCTGCTGCTGTGCTGCTCCTGCTCTGAATGCTTGTCTCACTACTTGATCAGCTCACACAGTCCCGCTTATCAGCAGTAATACAGCTGTCAAAAAAAGAAAAACCCAACATTAACACCCATGTACACAGCTTCAAAGCCACAAATGAAAATGCAGCATCACATGCTTGGCCAAAATAAGAACAGGACAATTAATAATTCACGAGAAGGTAACATTGTGATTATTTCCTCCTCACTGGCAGCCACAACTTTCCCCCGTCATCCCCTTGAGTCCCACCGGCACCCCCTGCTGTGTAATCCACTTGACTGACTCATGCGTTCACTTCTTGACCTGAAAATAGTTGATGTCAGAGGTCATTCTGTCCAAAACAAGCAGGGTTTAACCCGTAGGAGGTCCCAGGATCTTAAAGCTGTAATGGCAAATTTGGAAAATTAGCTTAAAGCCTTTTTTTCATGCTTCTTAACAACATTCTAACATGGTGTAACTATAAATATATAGTGGAGATAAAAAAACAAAGTGGTTCTCTTGCATTTGTCTAAAAAACTCATAATACAATCTCAAAATAACACATTTTTGGACCAAACTCAGCCAATGGACCATCCAGCTGTTGGTCCCATTGAACCAACCTCCCTGGGTTTCTTGCGTATTTAGCAACAGAACACCAGTGGTTTGACAGGATCTCCGCTCAATAATATCAGAGAAGGAAAACATCCGGCTGCTACCACTTCAGCTTTAGTACACATTACCAGAGTCTCAAAAAGAAAAGCATCATTTGAAGTCACGGACAACAAAAGACGACTGGACCTAGAAAACTTCGACTGGTGTCTCATTTCATTCGGCACCGCGAGTTTCTGGTTCCAGCAGAAGCGTCTCGGGGAAGATACCCTTGGGGAGGGGTGAGACTTCCATGACCGTGTTTGTCTTCAAAAACTAGCTAGTTCTGTAGATTTGCTATAACAGCTTTAATGCCTCCCCAGATAAGGTCCCAAGAGAATTTCTAATTGAAACGATAATGAGGAGAACGAGAAGTGGGACTGAGCACAATGTAACTGCTGGCAATCAATCTTGTCTTTGCGACAAAAAAAAAGTAAAAGACTATTGATCTGGTGAATGTGTCTGTCAGAGATTAAGCAAGCCAGTACAACGGAGTTTCCTTATCAGAAACTGATGCATGAATCAGTTAAAAAACACTTCCAGATCTGGACCTCAATGATGCTAAAGATGTTGAAATACAGTATTGATCCCCCTCCATCCCTACCCTTTACAGTGTGTGCCTTCAGTGCTGTTAATGGCCCTTTTCCAAGTTGCCAAACAAAATTATGCAAATAGAAGACAGAAAAGTGAGCGCCCTTATGCATGCTGTTCCCCTTTAAATGGAATTAGTCATGCGGGTCACATCACATGGGGCTGGGACCTCTGGAGAAAAGGCGTGTTTAAAAGTGAATTCAACCGCTCCAAACATGCGCGTGCCAAGTCAAGTCAGCGAGGGCATCCGGAATGTGACATTACGTATGGGAACAAATACTGGAACAACAACAACAACAAAAGAAATAACAAATGAGAGGACAAAAGAGGCTGGCTCTTTATTTCAGCAGAATGTGATGAAGACAACATTTTAAAGAAGCACTTTGTCATGATGAACACTAAAGATGATTTAATTATCTTTAAATCAAAGTTGACTCAATGTTTTCCTTAAGAATTTCTTTTTTACATCTAACCAACAAAGCTTGCATTTTATCATTCATCACAATTGTATGATTTATACTATCCCAAAGCTCAGATAAACAGAGAAATGTTGGATATTATTTTTATTTTCTTTGAACAATCCGTGGTTTAGATCTGCCTCCCAGCAGGCTGCGTGATCCTCTAACACCAGTGTTTTATCAGTTCTTTCCCCAAAGATGCTGGGCTTATTTACAGTCTCACACACAGTCCACACTGCAAAACTAAATGCCAAATGTGAATCAAAAGTGTCTAGACATATCTGTTAGATGAAAACCATCTAAGGAGTAGATGGCATTGCATTAGTTTGTCAGAGCCAATAAAGCTCTGAAGAGGAGACTTTTTTTGTTTGATGCCTTGAGATTAAAACTCAATTTTAAATTGGTGACCTTGGAGCTTATTTGTGACACCATGAAAAATAAATACCCGAGTTATTTTGAAAAAAGACTGGTTGAAGGCCTTGAAAAACCTCATGGTCACTTGGTAAGAAATGGGTCCAAGCAGGTGACCACAGTGGGAATTTGCTCTTTTTGGTTTGTTTCAAAATGAAGTAATTTGAAAAAATTGGTCATATTGTTTTTCAGAGAGAAAGAGAGAAAAAGAATGCTGATTTATCTTTTAATACACAAGAGCTCCATCTATTGGATGTCCATGCAGGCAATGCCAGCCTTTGGAGAAATAAACCAGGTTATTGTAAAAAGGCGTATCGAGAGTACACTTTAACTAAAAGTATCAAAACTAACAAAAATCAACACCTTACAAATTTTATTAGCTGGTCGTTTATGTATAATCAACCAATGAGATTTACACCGAAAGGATTGTATTACATACTGACTTCAAACAGATTTTTACAAACTGATTTAGTAAATACCAACACCCTAATGTTGACCATGTTATTTTAAATGTAATATTAATTGTGGCTTTTCTGAATCGTAATTTGTTCTTCTGCATATATTCGGGGAAAACATCCATCCTCGAAAAAACACAACTTAAAGAGGCAACATGTAGTTTTTACCATTAATCCATCTAAATGTTGTTGAAAATGAATTAAATGATGCCCAGTTCTTGAAAAATATTGGCAGCTTTGTAACATATAACCATAAAAAACGAAGGTGTTTCTCAATGTCAAGGTGCCTGGCCTTGCAAGGCGATGTCTTGCGAGGCCAGGCGCCTTACTTACGAGGACACGGTCCTTCCTTGGTCAAAGAAAACTGTTAAATGGAACAGACTTACATCACGTGACCATGGTTTCCACGGCGGTCACGTAACGTCACGTGACACGGGAGATAACGTTATACTTTATACGTATAAGTTTCAATATGAATATATAACGAGCCTTTCACATTTCAAATTGTGTACATATTTGTTAAACATATTTTCTGTAATTGTAATATATTGTAATTGTATTATACAATAACTCTTTGATGACTTGATTATTATTATTATTCTGAGCTACTACAGCAATCAATTTCCCTCTGGGATTAATAAAGTACTTCTGAATTGAATTGAATATAAGCAAGTTACTACCTGCTAGCCACTGAAGTTGAAACTAATAATCAACAATAGATAACTTCTGTGGGTCTAAAAAAACATTTTAAATTAGTTAACTTACTTTTAAACTTGAAATTTGCCCCCGAAGAAGCTGCCGGCTTTTGATCCGCCATCATTTTGAAAATAATGCGGCATATTCTGGGTAATTTTTGACCAAGGCTAGGCTACAAGACACCTCCCGTGTATCCTTGCTCAGCTAGCTGAACAGCTAACAAACGGAGAACAGACGCCTCGGTAGAACATGAACATTGGAACATGCCTTGGCTGCTTCTGATGACGTATCTCCTAGGCAACCGGGGTGGGGACAAGACATCAAGGCAGAGTTCCTTGGCATTGAGAAACACTGTGGCTGTGTCTCAATTCAGGGTTTGCATCCTTCGAAGGACTCAGTCTACTCGGCCGACGTGGGCTGGGTCCTCCGTCGGCCGAGTAGACCAGATGTTAACGGCTGTGAATTTGGACAGGCCTAGCCTTCATGAATTCCCGCCACTCACTCGGTGAACGTTCCGTCGCCTAGCAACCGTGGAACCGCTGAGCAGAAGGGAGAAGGAACTTTAAACGATGGAGCTCGAAGTTTTATATAGCTTTTTAATAATTTCCTTGACTGTTGGAGAGCTAATTCAGAGAAAATACTTTCGACAAGCTGAGCCTGAGCAAAGATGTGATAATAGTTTTTAATACTTTCTAAGGCTCTTAATTTGACCAAAACCGATTTATCACCTTTTAAGAATTTTCAAGACCCAGCGGGATACCCTCTAGTAAACAATTCTCATTTGTAAACAAAAATAAAATTCAAGAGTTTAATACAGAACTGATTTTATTTGGATATTTCTTTTATATGTGCATGTTTAATCTCCCGCTTCACTGTCCGCCATTGTTTTTAAAAGTTCTATGTCCGGCCCGCAAGGCATCTTGGGAAATGTAAACCATTGAAGGATACACCGGACCCATCCTTCATACAGGTGAAAAGAAGGCCGAATTCGTCGACCGCATTTGAAGGAGTCTTCGAATTGGGACAGGCCTGGTCGCGGCGCTGTGACGTAACCGGCCGACGAAGGATGCAGACCCTGAATTGAGACACAGCCTCTAAGTCTTTGGGTGACGCCATCTTACATACCATGCTTTCTTCTACAGGAGCTCGTGAGGACAAAATGCATTTACTGCTTTGCAATGTTGGGAACGTTACTTTAAAAAAGTTATTAGTTATAGTTACTAATTACTTTGTCAAAAAAGTAACAGTTACTTACCGAGTTATAAAAGTAACTAATTACCAAGAAAAATAACTATTTCGGGGTTTTTTTTTCATTAAAGAATGAAAGAAAAATGGGTTCCCCTCTTAATTTCACTTACTTTATTTACTATAAATGACTACAATAGTGAAATATAAATGACTAATGACTGGAACATAATAAAATGTTTGTCCAAATGTTTTTTATACAACTGAATAATTGAAATAAATGGGCACTTAACAGGAGGAACTTCAAACACAAACATTTCACTAATCTAGACTATTACAATGTCACTGTGTGACATTTAACAAGACCCCGATCAGCTAAAATGTATAATTGCAAATAGAAACACCAGTAAAGGTTCCTGAGCCTTTAACTGGTCTCTCAGTCTAGTTAAATTACTGAAAAAATGTAATTTTGACCAGTATTCTAATTTTTCCAGCTTCACATCAGTGTGTGTTTTTAGTAGCATTTGTGCTGCTGGTAATCTAGTAATGGTTAAATAAATAAATAAAATCCTTTAAAATGACACTAGAAGAGGCACAAATCTGATGGAGGACTTAAATGTACTAACTTGGGTC